AGAAAGACCCAAAGGATTACAAATGGAGGGATTTTGCTAAAGATTTGCTACGATTTACCAATGATTTATATACGGATACTCGAAAGGTGATCACACGAGAAAATGACATTGTTCATTTTGCTAAAAAGTGGTTGGGTTGGATCGGAGTGGGATGGCCGCCCACTCCTGTTGTCAATGGATAGGCTATTATTGGTTTGATTTAATCATTTTATACTAAATAAGAGTTATTCTTTAAAAATAAGTCATTATATATTTGTATTGTTTAATATTCATTTTTGTTACAATAAGAATAAGTCTTTATTATAATCTAATATTATAGAGAAGTAAAAATGTGTTTTTTTAATGAAATATGTGTAATATATTTGATATTACTTTTAATCGATAATAAAGTGAAGTAATTGCAGTGAAAACGGAGTAAACCTTATCGCCAGAGTTATGGCATTTCTTTAGCCGTATCTCTAATGCAATGCATAGAGTGTCTACACATGGAGTGCCTCTCAGAGCCTATGAGTGCATTTGAATGAAAGAAGAATTGGCATCAAAAGTGTAATCCAAACGCTTAAATAAATTGTAAATTTAAAGTAATTAACAGATATTTAATCGGAAAGCGTGTTCACAGATGCTTTTTCTCACAAGCATTGAGTCATCAGATCCACGGGACAGGTATTACAGAAAAACAACACAATTGTCTTATTATCTCACAACTGATTAATTGCAAAACTATTATGAAATATCAATCATTAACTCATATAAATATGGGACACTTTCTTATTCTGTTATTCAGTTTAAACTTATTAATCAATTACTAGAAAACTTTCTATTCTAACAAAAAAAAGTAAGTCAAACTTTTTCAACTTTAATTTCAACTGGTTCAAATTTAATTTGAATCAATTTATTGAATATTAAACTAATTGTTGTATTGACATTATTTCATAGAAATAACAATGAATTCAATTGTCATCAGTTGTGGTCTATTGGCTGTTGTGGTGATGTCTTGCATAGACATGTCTTGGGGCGAGTGCTGTCACGTGCCGTTGAAGTGTGAGGAGAGCTCGAGAAGCGTTGAGCGCTGTTATGACTGCACGGAAGCCACGACTTACTGCGGGGTCGGCAAGTGTAATGTGTTTGGCTGTAACTGTGACGGCGGATGCAGGAAAGGCGACTCCAGTCTCTGGTGTTGGAACATAGCCTCCGGGTGTAAGGGAAAGCTATTTCGCGAGAAAGTCCTGTCCATCACTAACGAGAGCCGCAGCTCATCGGACGTCAAACAATTGATCGCTGAGTTGGACACCGATTCGGACGGAAAAGTGAGCTATGAAGAGGCGCACCGGTATTTGACCAAAATTGCATCAAATGGTCTCAACATTAAAGAGGAATTCAACAAAATGGACACAAATGGTGATGGATTTCTGTCAGCTCAAGAAATCGATGGATAGACTATTGGTTTAAATAAGTGTTATATCTATTATTTATTTATGTTTATTTATTATTAACTATTAGTGGAAAGTTTATTGAAATTATTTTACTTCATAAATAATTATTTGTATTGCAAGAAATAAATAAAAACCTGTTATTCAATAACAAATATACCTTTGATTATTATTATCACACAATATAGTCTATGTCCTTTGAGTGACAGAAATAATTTAAAAACCTATAACAAAGTATAATAAGAGTATACTTTTGCTTGTATTGAACTGGACAATGATTCCCAATAGGAATCACTGCTATTAGAAGTCTGCTAACTGTGAAGAATCTGAACTATTTTTCATAGAGAAATATGTTTCACTGATTAGATAATAATGTAAATTACATTTAATACATAATTGAAATCAAGAAATAAAAAATAATAGTCAACTAAATTGCGAACATAATATGTTTTATTTGTAATATTCAATTATTGAATGAATTTGAAAGTAATGCCTAAAATAGTTGGACAATAATTGCGAACAAATTCATGAATTAATTGATATATTGCTGAGAGAAGAGGTGCTGCCAGTCGTAGAGCCCGTCGTCGTTGTACTCATTCTTCTGAAACAACTCAATGAATGGTTTCTTAAGGTTAGAGTAATTGGGTTTCTCTTCAAAGTCTAGACAACGGATGGCTCGAAGATAATCAGCAAACTCTTCCGGATAACCATAACATAGGGTCTCAATAGAGATGCTTCTCTTGAACTCTCCGATAAGATCCCGCTTTTTCTGGGCCGACGACTCCGGGAGTCCACTCCACGGGAGGTCTCCATTCTTGCGGAAATACATGATTACATATCCGATGGCTTCCAAGTCATCGCGTCTGGACTGCTCATAACCCAAGTGAGTCCATCTACTCATATAACGGGGCGGACCTACCAGTGCTTTATTCTTCTTAACAGGGATGTGGTCTTTGGTCTTCTGGTCGATGAACTCCTTCGCTAATCCAAAGTCAATCAAATGGATTATGTTTTCAGAGGGCGTGCCTTCCGGTCCCAACACAAGGTTTTCAGGTTTGATGTCCCGGTGCACGAAACCACACACGTGTACGGTCTCTATGCGTTGGATCAGTTGCAGCGCTATATATATGATTGTCTTCAGCGAGAACTGATAATTGCATTTCTCAAACACCTGCTCCAGAGTAGGGCCCAAAATGGTGTTGACGGCCATCGCGTTGTACTGACGCCAACGGCCACAGTAGAGGACACTCTGGAAATGATAACCAAAGTAGTTGTCGGCCTCTTTGGTCAGACGTCGGAAGCACTCGACCTCCACTTCCAGATGTTGTGCCGCCTGTGACTCATTGGGAATGTACTCCAATTTGATAACCACTTCTTCGCCTGACTTAACTCGTGAGCCGCGCCTCCACTCACCGAAAGAAGCTCTTCCTATCTTTGCACCCAATTTGAACTGATCTTCGGGTGCGCCCAACAGTTCCCCCACCAGTGTATCGACTGAATTGTCCACGTTTTCAATCACTTGCGATGGGTTTGGCATTATATTGGCGGCACTGACTCCTGCAGTCTGTGCGTCCAGACCCTCGTCTGTCTTACTCCATGCGCTTCCCATTTATCTATTTTCTTGTGTGTCTTCAGTATTAAGATCTATTGATTTAATTTGAAATATAACTCAATTTACTCCAACCGTTAACTTTTAACATTCAGTATTACTTATAATACAATGGTTATAATTTATAATACAATCAGTTCGTTACATATTATAATCGCGTGAAATAGATATTATGATTTATAAATCAAATTATATTTTATTAGTTATAAAACCGTTAAAACTGTTGACTGTATTACTATTTAGTATTACTGTACTATTAATATGAAAGAATTGTGAGGAAATGGGAGATAATAAAGAGGTTTGGGATCAACAGAGGGATGAGAGGAAGAAAAAGATTCAAGAATTGAAGCAACAAATGAAAGCATTGAAGGATGAGTTGAGCAAAAAAGAGATCCAATTAGAGGTGGAAACTCAGAATCAGATCCAATCCGAAAGACGCGTTTCTTCGACGAGATTCTCAATGAAAATGAAGGAAGAGATGGAATACTTGAAGCGACAGGAAAATGAAATCGAAATCAAATACAAAACTCAAATGATGTTTGAAATGAACAAACTTAAGGAAGATATGAGCAAAAGGTTAGAACAGCTCTCCAGTGATACGATCGCCACCAACGATGACATCGAACGCAAGAATCGTCTGAAAGCCAAACAAGAGATGGTAACCGTTCGCAACAGACATCAGATACAAATGGATTCACTCGTCGACACTCTAGTCAGACAGACGATGGAATTGGAGGATAAGCTGAAGGCCAGGGAAAGGGATATTTGCGACAATAAAATAGCGCCCAAAGAGGGGACTGAAGATAAGAGCGATAAGACGGGTAGTGCGGACCTGCCCTGGAAAAACATGGACACACTCTTCGAGTCAAAGACTGCCAAACAAGACACCAAACCAATGGAGAAGACTTCGGACCAAAAGAAAGTCAAAAAAGAGGAGAAAAAGGATGAGAAGAAAGAGGAGAAAAAGGATGAGAAAAAAGATGGCAAAAAGGATCACAAAAAGAAAAAAGAGACGCCAAAGAAGAAGCCCTGAAATTAATCTCAATTAACAGTCCATTACTTGTTTGAAAAATTCATTTTCATAACTAAAAAACAATTTAATATCGTATTTGACAATTAGTCGACAAAATACTTGATTTGTTTATAAAAATAGAAAATCTGAGAAAAAACAAAATAAGAAATGCTTTATAAGTCTCTAATAGTTTGTAACAATCAGTAAAAGTGTAAATCAATTGTAAATGAGCTGTTGTTGTCTTCACTTATGAGTCGTCGAAGTCCTGATCAGACGTTTGTCTTCTGTAGATAGTCTCGGGTTTGCGGTCATTGAGGGCACAGACTCTGGCGATAGTAAACAAATAGCTACTCAAACGGTTGAGGTATTGAAGGACAGGCAGTTCGAGGCCTTCGTCCAGAAGCGGCACTAATTGTCGTTCAGCTCTTCGACAGATGGCTCGTGACATGTGAAGCGCTGCACTCGCTTTGCCTCCAGACTGTCAACGCGTCCGCAGAGAAAATCATTGATTAAAACTCATGTCATATGATATATGAATAGATATTTGAAACAACCGGAAGAATGAAGTTCTTGAGCGGTGGGAGTGTCTGCTGATGAGAGTCGATACAGAGCTCCAAATCGATTAAATAGTTTCGATTCCACTTCGTCTTAGCGATGAGGGATGGGTTGGAAGTGGTCTTAGGAGTGGCTATATTTGACTGCAGTTCTTGTAAAATGCATTGAATTCTCTCCAACTCTTCGTCGATGGCGGCGATTGTCACGAACTCACGCGCGAAGCCTATGCTCGACGACAGCTCATCCGCGGTTCCCAACGCCTCGAAGACGCTGTCGTTTTTAGGTCTTCGGTCTCCGGACCCGAAGAGACCGGAACTGCCGTTATCTCCGGTTCGCGTATATATACGGGTTATGGGCGACGATGTCGTGCCCTCTCGTCCGCCACCACCGCTGTCATCGGTGGTCGACAACTGTCTCACCACTCGGTGTTGTCTGAAGAGCCTATGGGTGGTGACGGCCATCCAGTTGAAGACGTGGCCATTGGTTGCCATCATTTGAGGCACGAGTTTGCGATACAAATGGATGGAAAGCATTGCAGACATTGTTATCAAACATATGAACACAAAATCCATTATAACTTCAGTTGTCTTAACACTTATGACAACATATTTCTCACAACAACTTAAAACCACAACTTTTCCTCAACTTTTGGACACTTATTGCGGTTATTATCACAACTAATACCACAGTATTTGTTACTTCTTTGGTCACAATTAATGTTAAATGAGATGAAAATGCAATGAAATCGCGATTTAATGACAAAACAGTGAAACAAAAAACATTTAAAATTATGAAACAATAGTTTGTTTTGAGTCATAGACTGCCTATTCGTATAAGACGTTCGCATTAAATGACTTTTTGGTGTCAATAAAAAACATATGATTTCTGATCACTTGTTATCAGTGTTTGTGATCTATGTGTGAATGCAATGCATTTCCCAGTGTTTGGCAACTCGTGTCGACCCTTCACTTCATTCATCACCCAATTTGTTCCCAAACATCAGAAGGTGACCACCGATGAGATCCGGGCGTTTCAGCAGTTCATGGACCGCAACAGTCAGGTGTTGGTGTTGTCGGGCGCCGGCATCTCAACCGAGAGTGGGATCCCTGACTACCGGTCGGAAGGGGTGGGTCTGTACGACAGGAAGGGTCACAAACCCATCCAATACCAGGACTTCTTGAGAAGCGATGGCATTAGACGCAGATATTGGGCCCGAAATTATTGCGGTATTCATTGCCTCTAAGTCTTCAGCCAATGAATGACTCGTGAATTGTCTGTTGAATGAAAGGTTGGAACCGTTTCAGTAGTTTTGAACCAAACTCTGGACACAAATGTTTGGCCGAATGGGAGCGTCAGAAGAAGGTGTCAGCGATTGTCACCCAAAACGTGGATCGACTGCACCAGAGGGCCGGCTCTGAACTCGTGATTGAATTGCATGGAAGCGCTTATACCGTTGCATGCCTTTCCTGTAAATACAGAGTCTCTCGGTATCTGTTTCAGCAAACATTGACTCAATTAAACGAAGATATTATCACCAGTCATGAGATGGATAGGAACCAACAGTTGAGACCCGATGGAGACATAGACATCGACAGTGAGTTTGTAAGCCTTTTCCGGTACCCGTCGTGTCCTCGATGTGAAGCACTTCTTAAGCCCGATATAACATTCTTCGGCGACAATGTGTCCAAAGCTATTGTTAACAGTGTTTACGAAATGTTGAGTCAATCGGACGCTCTGTTAGTGATTGGATCCTCACTTCAGGTCTATTCTGGTTATAGGTTTGCATTGACGGCCAAAGAACTCAATAAAGCCATTGCTATCGTCAACATCGGGCCAACCCGTGCCGACACTTTCCATACAATACTTCGCTTCAATGCAAGAGCCGGTGATATATTGACTCAAATTGTTGTTTAATATTTGAAATGTTTTTTAATATATTTTTAGAGTTCATTAGATTTATTTTAAGAGTTTATAAGAGTTTTTAAGAGTTTACTGTATACTGTCGTTGAAATATTGTCATTTAGTATTACTGTATCATAACAACTCAGTTATTGTATTATATTGTATAATACAATTGGAAATAAAATCAGTTTTGTGTCTATCACTGGACACACATCTGGACTGGACTGTCATAATCAGTGATCTAAAATCTAATTAATTCTAATTGTTTTAATTTTATTTGAATATCACTGCAAATTAACAATTGTTTTAATTATTGTACTGTTTACTCATTTTGTATTCATAAGTTAGTTGATGTTCATTTAAAATAAACTTAAAATTGTCAAAATATATATAATTTACTATTTTAAGATAAATAAAATTGTCTTCAATAAATCTCATTAACTATTTGCTTAAAATGATTTTGTATTTAATAAGTTTTTTTAATAAAATACATGTATTTATGAAAATGCTTTGCCAAAATGAATCTACTTTATACAGCAGAAGTAGGCCAAACACTGAACTCAACTTGATTTTTAGGTTTCCCATGTTATAAATGTAAATTTACTGTATTTGTCTATATTGTTACACACAGTTATATTTGATTTTTTCATGAGTTTAGAAATGAAACTAAAGTGTAGAATAATTGTTACGAACATTGAGTGATTGAATATAAATTAATTGTATTTATAACAATTATAACAATTTATAACAACTGTGTCTTAATTAATTTTTACTAAATTCTGGATTATATAATCAATTTAAAGTCTGACCACTCTATGTTTTTTATAATACTGATCAGTGATCTGAATATTGTTATGAATTTTAATTTCTAAAATTGAATACATTGTAAACAAGTATAAAAATTTATTTAAATCTCACACTTTAAATTAAAAAGTTATAAATTGTTATGTAAATTAATTCAAAGTTGATCTAAATGTGTTTCAGTCATTTAAATATTTTATATCTATTTTATCCAAAATTCTACTACATTTAAGTAATGCAGACTATGAATTTATAATATTAGACAGACTATCAGTTTTCAATGTAACCAATTAATCAATTTTATAATTTTATTTGAAACCAATTCTTGAAATGAGAACAAAATAGAGAATATAAATTGAAGTCAGAATAAGTGATCAGACATTTCAATTGATTTTAGTGAGAAAAGCACATCAAGTAAATGTGTTTGCATTTAACATGAAAGCAATGGATATATCAGTCAAAAGGAAAGCAATAATATTTGTAATGATTTTATTCTTGAATTGGATGACCAGTGTATCGACAGGTAATGAATGAATGCTTTGTTTTAGATTTTATTATATAATTTGTGTTGAAATTACAAATAATGTATTAAAGAGAAAGACCCAAAGGATTACAAATGGAGGGATTTTGCTAAAGATTTGCTACGATTTACCAATGATTTATATACGGATACTCGAAAGGTGATCACACGAGAAAATGACATTGTTCATTTTGCTAAAAAATGGTTGGGTTGGATCGGAGTGGGATGGCCGCCCACTCCTGTTGTCAATGGATAGGCTATTATTGGTTTGATTTAATCATTTTATACTAAATAAGAATTATTCTTAAAAAATAAGTCATTATATATTTGTATTGTTTAATATTCATTTTTGTTACAATAAGAATAAAAGTCTTTATTATAATCTAATATTATAGAGAAGTAAAAATGTGTTTTTTAAATCAAATATGTGTAATATATTTGATATTACTTTTAATCGATAATAAAGTGAAGTAATTGCAGTGAAAACGGAGTAAACCTTATCACCAGAGTTATGGCATTTCTTTAGCCGTATCTCTAATGCAATGCATAGAGTGTCTACACATGGAGTGCCTCTCAGAGCCTATGAGTGCATTTGAATGAAAGAAGAATTGGCATCAAAAGTGTAATCCATGTGCGGATGAGTTGTGCATTGAATGGATGGGCGAAGGGATGAGTCGTTTTGCGCTCCGTTACCGAATCGGAACTATCAGTTCACTGCAGACATTGCAGTCATCGCATACACTCTCACTCTATAGTCACCACAAATGAGTTGACAAATCAGTTCACGTCCTGTCACTCGCTCTACACTACACTTCTGTACACAATATACAGTATATCTCATACTTCTATGACTTCACTATCTATGCAAAAGCCATTTCAACACAAAAGTAGAGATAAGTTTGAAAAGAAGGCAATTCTGTATTCAATTTGTACGACAAATCAAAATGAACTCAATTATAGGAACACCTAAAGAATGTCATTATTAATAGCTAAAAATAGGTACGATTTATATGCTTTACAAATTAAACGTTTGGTTTAATCAATACATTTATGCGTTTTTAATTAGAGTACAAATTAAAAGCAAAAGTAATACAATAAATACAGAAAAGTAATAATGAGTTTGAATGTGGAATCGAGTATAACATGTTTGCAATATTGTGTTTCAATCAAATCATTTGTTCATTCATTTGGGAATTGTGTTGAGTATAGCAGAGTGTGAACACTACTATCGGGGCTGACATGAGATTGACTTGTGTTTGGGTGACAATCGACTATAAATGTGTCCGTTTGTGATATAGCTGTGAACCAGTAGTTCGCATACCATAGAGAATTGAGCCGAGAATTGAACGTTTGGATGGCTTTTTGCTCTGCTATTGTATTCCCCTATTTTCAGCTCTTTATACCCATTGTGTTTGCATTTAATGTTCACTCAATTCACTCAAACTCACTATCACTTAGTTATGAGTTGATGAGTGAAATACAATTAATGTCTTAACCATAGACTGCTTTTCTAAATGATAAGTACATTAATTTAATTATTTAGAAATTAAAAAACATTTTAATCTAATAATAATTTCTGTCGATGTTTTAATCGTTAGTAAAAATTAAGAATTAGTCAAAACAGAGACTAAAACTTGTGATGAACTCAAACCACAACTGAATGAGTGGTTGGTATAGAATTCGACTCTCCTCCTCCCCTAGCCGTTATTTCGTGACGCACTAACGAAATGTGCGAAACAATCTGTGAGTAACACAAGGGGTAGTGGTGTAGTTGGGTTATGGGTAAGTTATTTGAGAGTGAAAAAAACTCATTCAGACTATGGTAACGATTTTCATAAAAAAACTAAGTTTTGCCAAACTTTTCTACTCATGAAGTCATAACAGTCTATAAATCAGAATTAGAGATTTACAGCAAAACACTTAACGCTTACAGCAAAACACAATGTGTTAATTAACATCAAATTTAGACCAGCCTATAATAGTGACCCCACAATCTGTACAGTAAAATCTGTACTATATACAGTAATAGTAAATCTGTACAGTACCATGCTAAATAGCGTTTTATCCAACTGTTCATTTATTACTTTCAAACATTCAGATTCAAAGCTTAAATTTATTTAACATTTTATTAAATATAGCTTTTGCTGTTGAAAGGGTTTTAAGAGTATTTAAGTAGTTATTTTGTATTTTTTTATAATCATCAAGTAATAATCATTGAATAAAAACAAAATAAATTTCACTTTAGCAGATAAAAGATACCATTTTATAATAGAAAACGATATAATTGAAATTAAGTGACAATTATGTGATAACATGAAATTTAAGCAAAACTTTAAGTAAAATCTTGATGAATAACAAAAAGCTATTGCAGTATATTTTCACATTAAATTGGCTTTAGCTTAGGGTGTGTTTCATATTTACATTCACTGATTTTATTGTCTAATCATCTTTTGAATACAAATGTTGTCATATATTGAGATGGAAATGAGTTTAGCATATGATGTCTCACCTGCCGGTGCCGCACATACTTCGTGTGTTGAGAGGAGTAAGCTCAGCCATAAGTTGTAAGAAACGTCAATCGCGTGCATCATTTGCATCGTTTTCTGCCACAAATCGGGCCATAAATGTGTTATCCATTGATTGCCGGAGAGAAGAAATCCCAAATCATGTCCGGAAGGGATTTAATATGCATTAAGAATATAACATATAATGCAGATGTTTGCCACTCAAACACGGCTTAAACACCTATAATAACTGATTGTCTTTTTCTGTCAAATCGAGTGAACCTCCCATTCCTTCTAATTCTGTTTGGGGTTTGTCGTCAATTATGTGCATTTGATTTGAAATTTTTTTATCATTAAAATTATAATAAATGTCCATAAGATTTGTCTATAAAGTAATTAAAAACTTAAAAGTTCAGATTAAAGTAAAGCAAATAAAATTGTGTATAAAGTGTTGATAGAGTGTGATATGAGTGTCGAGTGTTGAGAGTGCAGGTGCTCTTCAATACATTAATTGATGAGTTGGTCCGTAATGGCATTTATAGAGTGGATGAAGTGCTCACCACTAATAAAGTGATCATTCGTTGGCACGCTATCCATGCCATCCATGCTATCCATAGCATCCACGCTCACAATCAGCACAACTGTGCGCTCATCGCATCCCCGCCTCCGCCCAGCCATGAATTGCTGCGATCGTCGTCTCTCTCCTCCCATCAATTGATGCGTTGGAAGCGCTTCAGAGTCTGCGATAATCAACCGATGCTTCACTTATAGGTCTATAAAAACTGTTTCATGAATTTAGTTGACTTTTATTTAAACTTTAATTAAGTTTAAGTTGACTTTCGATTCGAGTGAAACAAATGCCACACACGGGTAAGACATACATTCAACCCATTTATTCAATGTTTTTAATTTAAAAGACTTTAACTCTTTATTATAAATTTATTTTTATAAAATTAATTTTTTATAATGTTTCTAATATATTGCAAACTATAATTTCATTCGTTAATCACCTATTAATTTTTAAAACAAAGATTGAAGTATAAATTAAATTTTTATTCCCAAAATATGTTTATAAAATGAGATTATGCATTAAAATATTTATCTCACTATTTTTCGTTTATTATTTACATATATTTATATAAACACTTATAAATTTAATTTTAAAAAAGTAAGCTAATTGAAAATTAGAGAATTCTTCAATTCAAAAGTAAATACTAATAAAAATTTGGATCAAAAAAAAGCTATAATTTTACATTATTTAAGAACAGACTTTGTTACTTTTACTAGTAAATAGTATATTATTACAACACTAATTTACATATTTTAATTTATTAACATTTAGAATTTATGATGAAAATCATTTAATATCAAAAAATTTAAATCTAAAAATCTAAAATATTACCAAAATAAATCTATAACTTATATAATATTAGTTGTATTATATAAAATTTGTGGTTAGAAATAATAGTAAAGTATAACCGAAAAGAATAATAAAAGTAAATTGTAAGTCACAATACATATAGTTATAAGTAAGACCTCCAAGTTAATGACATGGAGTTTATATGTGAGACCATAACTAACCATAACTTTATGTCCAGTCGTACTCTTTGTTCAATTCAAAGCGAAAAAGTATCGCAACTAATATAAACTCATAAGCTGTCAGACATAAAGTTAAACTGTGCAACAAATCTGCTTGTTTATGATCTATAGTACAGATTCTATATTCTATACTATTTCTAGTCTACAGGGCTAATAAACTAATGGATTGCCTTAATGTTTAACTCATAACTAATATTACGTCTACTTTTATAAAACTCTGTCAAGAAATTGATAAATTGGTACAAGCATTTTATTTAAATTATTTAATAACTTACACCATATTTGCATACTTATAGATAAATTTAAGTAAAATTCTTAGAAATAATATTTGTATAATATCGATTAAAATAATCAAGTACAGCACAATTATTAATGAATTAGCACATAATAGCTTTATTATGCGAGAATATTTAAAAAGCTGTACTAATAATTATTGTAAAGTTTTGCAGTGAAGTGTCTTTTAAGATAACCCTGAACAATTTGAATAAACTGTATTTGATTGACACGACAGGTCAGGCGGGTATCAATCAATTGGGCGGACTATTCGTGAACGGAAGACCACTTCCACTGCATGTTCGCCACCGGATCATAGAATTGGCTCTTTTGGGAGTCCGTCCGTGCGATATATCCCGACAACTATTGGTATCTCACGGATGTGTCTCCAAAATACTCACCAGATTTTATGAAACCGGTTTGAATTCAAACTTTTTTATTAATTTTGAAAATCTTAATTGAATCACAAATTGGCCATATTTTATGATTGTATTCATTTCTGTAGTAATTTTTGAATATTTATTAAATTTTTCTATTAAACTATTTAAATATAAACTCAAATCTTTATATGTGTTTCAATGTCAGGAATTTAACCATCTTTGCAATAATAGTATTACTTAATTATAGAAAAGTTATTCATTGAATAATTTAAAGTTTAAATTTTAAACTTATTGTAGGTCATGATACAGTACAGAATACATGTATTACATAACAATATAGTGGTCTGCAGAATCCAATGAGATTTTTAGTTTATGTTAACATCTTATGAATAACTTCTACATGATTCTTACAATGTTATAATTTGCAAATCATAATAGCTATTTATTTATAAATATTCATTTAGTTTATACTTAAAGGATTAAAAATTATTTCTACAAAATTTACAAATACATTATTTGTCACGATTTAAAAGCAAATATATGGAGGGATTTAGCGAACAGATACACATAATGTAGAATTATGTCATTCATTGCACTTCATAACTAAAACATCTGCTAATAACCAATAAATAGTAGAACTAATCGTAGGATTTTGGACAAAATATTTATGTGTAAATGCGTTAACAAATTTAGATATTATACTATTGTAATACCTTATAATTACCAATAACTGCAGCTATATCAGATACTACTTAAATCCCTAGGTCAGATTTGATTTATATGTGAATGTTGCACACCTTAAAGTAATTAAAATATTGCTCACCTTGGTTACTATAATTGTATCTATAGGTTCAATAAAACCGGGAACTAATCATTTACGTGAGTTTCTATTTAAATGATAAATTTAAATATATTAAAAGACTCAAGTGGTAATTCAAGGGGCACTGTATGTATGTATAGGTTCAGTGGGGGGCTCAAAGCCCAAGCACGTGACCACTCCTAATATAGTGAAGCGGATCCTGCGTCTGAAGCAGGAGAACCCGGCCATCTTCGCCTGGGAGATCAGGGATCTGTTGCGCCGGGAATTAGTCACTTATAACCAAAACCGCAATCAAAATGAGTCCACTTCTGGCACGTCCTCATCGGCCGGAGAGTCAGAGCTTAACGTGAATGTCATTCCTTCCATTTCATCCATTAATCGTATCCTAAGGAATGGCACGAATGCTCTCTTCGATTGGACCCCCAATTCAAACACATCTTCTGCTTCAGAATCCAAACAAACGAATAATACATTGAATAATGAGATGAATAGGAAATCTCAGAGTCAATGCCAACCTGTTTTGGGTATTAATCATATAGTTATTGTCAATAATTATAATATTCTGTAAATTATTTTGTAATACATTATCAATTCTTATAATATAATGAATTTTTTTATAATGAATTTTAAATCATTTTGTTTCGCTCCTCTGCCGTTTTCTTTAAGTTCAGAATAAGTTAACTTCTCTATGAATTTTTACTACTGTAGACACTTCTATGACCACTACTTCACCAAACGTTACTCTCGGGTTTACAATTGTAAATAGAGTCAAACCCAATAGTGGCCCAACACTTGACAGTTCAGCAACAGTTATATTACTCTTACTATTGTCAGGCATTAATGGCAGTCAATTACAAACATAATATTAATAATATTAATAACGCAATGAATGTTAACAATAATATGTCTTTTGAACCAATTATGATACAAAACGATCAGTCGATGTCCGCATCCCATCATATCTACCACAACACAACACCAATTCCTCAACAGATGACAAACACTCAACACTTCACTCACTCTTATCAATAGTTTGGTTCACTTTTATTATTATTATATTATATTTTATTTCATTTTTCAAAATCTAGTCATTAGAAGCGATAATAAATAGATATTTATTATGAATTTCACTCATAATGTAAACCAAAGAATATCGTAATTGAGAAAATAGATAACTTATATTAATGAGTCAATTAATGTGTATACAATTTAGAATAGTTTACAATTGTAAGTATTTCAATGTACTGACTATGTGATTTAATCCATTATTATAATTCTATTGTAATATTTAGTCATTTAATTGTCTATTAAACTAATATTATTAAAAACTATTTAATAAATATTTAAATCACAAAAACATTTTTAATTTAATAGTTTTGGTTGAAGTGTTGTTGACCTTAAATAAAATGCAATATTTGTCACAAACACATCGTTTTAGAAGAATTGCATAATTGTTGTGCTTTTGAAATATCTCTTCATTTAATATCTTCTTAGAGAATATCATTTGTTTGAGGAATAAATTCTCTGGAAATATATTCTTATAGCTATTAATGGCTTTGTTATTTCATCTGAGATACTTCATTAACTAAGGTACAAACCCGGAATTTTAACAGTAATTATAGTTTAGTCACTTTGTTAAAAAATACTATAGTTGCAAAAAACAGTGGTGAAAGTATACTTTGCTGTTTTTATGGTCAATGAAAATTATGAATATTGATTTGAATATAGTTCTGTAATGCAGTTGAAAATCGATTTCCGTCCAAAATTGGAGTTTACATGTGTTTAGATTATGATTATTGGTAAACATTTTAGCTATATTTTCCAAAAATCTTTCGGTGCAATAAAAACACATCAAGTTATTTGCATGTGTTTCGCATTCAATCTTAAAATTTTGTAACTTTAAATATACTAAATTTGGGAACAATTGATTGAAACTATTGAGATGTTGTACCCGGTAATCTCCTTTGATCACTAATACTTGAAGCGAATTGGATGTGTTTTCTTCATCATAAATGTAATTTGTGTTGAGAATCAGTTTGGAATTACTTCTGAGATCTAAGACTAAACTTTGACATTCTTGGAGTCTGGATAAGACATACAGTGAACTCAAATAATTCATTGATTCCATTGACAAACAAAGTGAACAAAGTTTGGGGAAATTATTTGAAATAATATCCAGAACTTGATCGGCGATGCAATCGTTTTTGCAATTTATCTCTAAATATGTGAGAGTTTGGGCCGATTTTGACTTCGATAGTGAGATAATAGAGGTTTTACTCAAAAGGAAAGTCTTTGTCATTTGTAAATGAAGTAAATTCTGAGGCAAACGATGGAAGAAGGCTTGGAATTGCATTTGATTTGATGGTGAATAGCCTTTAACTGTAATGTATGTTAAACTTTGCATATCATTTGTGTCTAATTGTAGATGAAGCGGTGAATTGAGTTTTAATTGAGTTATTTTTGGTCCAAAATATTTCTTAATTAATTGAAACTCATTGCGAGTGAATGTGTCGTTAGAATAGTTTGATATATGGACTGAAGACACGTTTGGCAGCATATGAGTCAACCATTGCATCAGTCGCTCATCGATTGTCCAAAAGTACAACTCAATTGTCTCAAGATTTTGCAATTTTGCGAATAAGTATTTGAACCGCTGATGAATATATGAGATATCATCGCAAAATCGATTCAAAGGTTTAGACTCTTCGCACGTATTCTTGTATGAAATAAAGCAAAAGTCGCGGCAATAGACTTGAAGTTTTTGTTTCTCAGGTTTAGTCAAAATTGTGAACCACTTCTTGTCCGACAATATACTTGTGAAGCAATCACTGAATTGTTTCGATACGGACACCAACTTTGAGATCTCATTCAGATCTAGGTATTCAAGAATTTGACACAATATGTGATTGTTTAATACCCTGGACTTCTTTCTCACAATTACTTTTACACTCATTTCTTAAATATTTTATAATAAAGACGTTTTTGTAATGAATAATCCATTTTGAAAATTATCTCGCTATTTTATACATTGAAAACATATATATTTACGGTACAACTAATTGAATTTTATAACTTATATTAATATCAGGAAAAGTTGATTGCATTTCAATTTTTCAATTCAATGCATAAATCAGTGAATGTATGAGAGATTATGTGAAAGTCCCTAATAGGTACACAATTAGCAATGATTGACTGGGAGGACCCCTTAGTCTGTCGCACTCCCTCCCAATTTGCAATTTATAGTTAGATATAAATTAATTAATACATAGTTTTATTAATTTTATCATTTGATAAATAAGTTGATAATCACCTTGTCAAGTTTGGCACTTTGCACGAGTGTTTGTCTATGAAATATAGCTATTATTTTGAATACTCCCGGGAATAGTGTAGTGTTGAGTGGTGTGTAGAGTGAGTTGTGGTGAACCCCTGAATGGCACACAATGTCTGTCTGAACATCATATGATCACTCATTTTGAACGGATTGGCGATTGTCTTCACGATTGTCTCGACGAGTGATCACTTGTCACGTGAATCACCACCGAATGCTAGTGAAGCACCATTACGGTATGCTAAACATAGCAAACAGCCTCCCTACCGACCTCAACCTTAGCCTAGGCCCTAACAAATGTGACGAAGACCTCCTGAAGCCGACGTTTCCGTAGGTTCACCTGGAGATCTACGATTTGGCCAAACCTATTGAGGGCACTGTCTTCGGATTCATATTCCTCTTCAAATGGGTGGAGGAGAGGAGGGGTCGGTGGCGCACGAGAGGACAGGACGGACACAACGGATCCGGTGTGGGCTCGCAGTCGCAGGACTTCATCGAAAACGAGTCGCTCGTCAACGACATGTTCTTCGCGCAGCAAATGGTTCCCAACTCCTGTGCTACTCATGCACTGCTGTCTGTGCTCCTCAATTGCCCGCACATTCAGTTGGGATCAGTTCTGCACCGATTTCAGGTCTGTCGTGCCATTTGGCGCCCATTTCTCAGATGACAGTCATATGAGTGCTAACAATGTCTGATGTCTTGGGTTTGTGTGACGACAGGCGGACACGAAGTCCATGAGTCCGGAGAACAAGGGCTATGCGATCGGCAACTGTCCAGAGCTGGCCAGAGCTCACAACTCACACGCGGCGCCGTCTCATGAGATCTCAATCGAGAATAAGTTCAGCACATCTTCACGTCCGGCCAATCTGTCGGCCACTCAGCGCACCTCCAGTCTCGACGCCTTCCATTTCGCCTCTTATGTGCCAATCAGTGGCCGACTCATCGAATTGGATGGTCTGAAGCGCTACCCCATAGACCACGGATCCATTGAAGACGAGTATTGGACCGAAAAGTTCCGGAAAGTGATTCGACAGCGACTCGAGAGGGAGACCCAGTCTTCGGAGGGCAATGACATCCGCTATAACCTGATGGCAGTGGTTCCCGACAAACGCGTCAACTATTTAAATAAACTCAATATCTTGAAGACTAATCGACACATTGTGTTGGAAGCGCTGCAAGAGATCACACGTCCCACACGACTGCCCACTCCTCTTGATTATCACAATTACTCGAAATATCCGGACATTTCAGTCAAACCACAGAACGAATTGTTGGAAACACACAAAACCGATGACAATAACAACGACTCGAATAAAGAGAGAACTCAAGAGTCGAAAGGAAGTCATGAAATCCGAGAGCCGTTAACCATATCTATAGCCGAAGAGAACGTCAGAAGCGATTTACGTCTCCCGCTATCCATCCAGACCTCCATATCTCCGACTCCCAGCTCTTCCTCCAGTACTGACACGTCTTCGGAAATCGGATCCGCTTTTAATTCGCCGAATAATACGAGTTGTGATAATACGGACGAACGGATCAATCAAATGATTGTTTGCAAACTATTTAACCGAAAACCAAAAACAGATGCCACGACTCCTACAGTCGATGTCTCGTCTGCCTCTCCAGTGAGTCTTTCCTCATCCACGCCCACACCGACTGTCACTTCCACTCACAGCCCAACCACTCCATCGCCATCCATATCATCATCGAGTGTGAGGTCCGGTACGCCATCGAAAGCATTAACAGCCAGCGATTTGGTGGCACTTCTGAAGAATCTTGAGATTGATATCAATTTGACGGAAACTAATCTGAAGGACGAGTTGGAGAAGAGAAGACAGTATCGGATCGACGACTCGCGACGAACTCATAATTACGATCAGTTTGTCACCACATTCCTGGCGATGTTGGCCGAGAGGGGACAGTTGGCAGACCTCGTCGAGCGAGACCTCGGAGTGTCGTCTTCGCTGTCCAACTGTTCTGAACAGCAGAAGCGCGTCAACTCACCGCCAGTCTCGCCCTCAACTCTGATCGCATCTCTCATGACAACAGTTATCAATAATAACACAAATAAACCTAAAAAACGCAAAAAGCGTCTCAGAAAACACTCACGAAAGTTGAAAAAAGTTTAAGCATTTGTTATCTCATCTCAATTGCTGTCAAATAATTAGTCTATTTTTAGATCATTTTCAAACAATAATGACATAAATTCTGAAGGTGGTTTTTATAACATAAAAGTTTCGTTTGGTATTGATATTACTTTCTGATATAAAGTAACAAGACATATAAAATTTACGTAAATTTATAAGAATATCATAAATAAAATCATATGAATATAATTCACACAAAAAATGACTATAACTTTAATTAAAATGTTATTTAATTAGATTAAGTTTAATATTTATTTACATAATCGTAATCAATGTGTTCGATGGGAAGGACAGCTCCACGATCTGTATGCAGGGAATGGTCCACATTTGGATGCAATGAGTGGTCGTGGACTGAGTGATCTAATGAATGACCCAATGCATGGTCTAACCCGTGATCGATTGGGATAATAGGTTTACCGATTGGTTTAATCGCTTTAATTGGATGTATTGGTTCGTGGAAGTGGTGATGGCACTCCTCGTGAAGTAATGTAGCGTTTCTTGTGTTGAAGTCTTGTTCGACATATTTTGTGATTTCATTCAGAGATTCAGTAATGCGGGAGAAAATGAGTGGTAGACCAGGGGTTCGGCAGTGTTTGCCAA